AGAGGAACGGAGGGTACAGGCAGCTAAGTAGGGGGCTACTCCCTTGGCTCATCCAACCTGCCCATCATCAGTGTTAGGGCTTTCAGCCTATTTGCCCCCACCCCCTGAAACTCCATCCCAGAGTCCTTCCAATGCACTCCTTCCCTCACCTCTTTCAAAGTCCATTTCAAGACTTACCTCTTTGACCGCACTTTTGGTCATCTTTCCCCTTTCCAGCCCTTTAGCTCCAGTGCCAAATCAGGACCTTTTCACATTGGGACGTTCTCCCAATGTGAAAAGTGCTATATACATGTAAATTTGTATCGTATTGTAAAAATGCTGAAAATTTGTATAGTAGGAACACCACGGATATTTGTAAAATGGTGATTAGACATGGAGTGAAATCTTATATGTACGTTTGGCATCAGTGTGCATTTGGTGGAAGAAAGAGCAATAACAACAACTTGCATTCATATAATTATAATAATAATCCATGCATTTGTCACAGCATCTTGTAAAGTGAATTTACTGTATATTTTGTGAAAGAAATGCGGCAGCCAATTGTGCACAGCAGTGTCCCAGAAACAGTCATGGATTGAGTGACCAAAATTATTATTATTTTAAGGGATTAATAAGGGATAAAAAAAAGGCATCGTATTATCACATTAACACTATCTCTAAACACTTTACATAAACTATTGTCGACTATAGTGACTGAATTTGCAAGCCACTTCTAGGGCAAAATGTTTTCCACACTTTTGAAAATACTTCTGTTCTATAAATTTCTGTGGTTCTCCAGTTCAATGTGTGCATTATAACTTGGCACAATTAAATTTAACTTTTGACCAGGGCTCTGTCCCAAAATATTCGTTTTCTCTCAGCTGCTTATTTGCCTGTAGCCGCCATAAATAATAATCCTTGCATTAGAAGCGCTTTGGGACGTCCTCCTGACGTGAAAAGCGCTATATCAAATGCAAGGATTATTATTATTATTATAAACCACCAAATCTGACTCACCTAATTAATCCTAGTAGAAACATTTAAATGTATTTCAGTCCTTCCATTTGAATCAACTCAGTCTTTCAATGGAACTTAGCAATACGACCATGTTTCAGTCTTTGGTAAAAAGGATAACAATCTACAGCTGTTGATCAGCACCTCTCATGTGGCCATTCAAATGAATAGTCACAGCCAAAATGTTACCCAATCTTACTTTTTTATTACATCACTAGTTAATGGAGTTTCATTCCTCAGTCCATGTGTCAGTGGCATCAGTGATTTCTGAGATTAAGAAATACTGTGCTAGTGTGACTTTTTTTTCTCTCTTGTAATAGATGAAGAATGAGTCCTTGTCAATACATTGCACCTAATACGAATCATTACACTTTAGTGTGTAATATCCTGTGAAGTGCTATGAGATGTCATCCCGGCGTGATTATTATTATTAGAATCCACAACCTTCTGACTTCTGACTTCTGGTAAGAGTGCCATCAACTGAGCTATGCTGACATTCCACATAGTGAAAAAAGGTATTGAATCTTTTAAACTTTCTTTTGCTGCAGATTTTGCTGCAGATGAATTTATTTCAGCCAGTGCCAATCAATTATCAGAAGATTATACATCATCATGAAGCTACATGTCCAGCTAAGACCACCCTACCTATTGAGGCTTAAAGGGTTAACGGAGACTCAGTGGGTAGAATCCCTGTCCCCAATGACTGGTCTTTCCTTCTATGTCCTGCCGATGGGACAGGCTGGTTGGGCTGCCATCAACAGTGTCCTGGTGTACTGTGGACCCACCTTGCAAGTAGACATGCCCACTGTGAAGCCTACTCCACCTCCAGGTATTCAGGAACAAATCAGTGTAGGCCAGAGTCTTCCTTCCCTACAGCCATTTCCCATGTTTGCCACAAATCTACCTAACTGCTTGATCCTGGATTTAGCAAATGGGCCAGTGGAAGCCCTTCTGTTGCATCCCCAGAAACTCAGATGCATAAAGGAGAACTGTTTGGACACAGGTTCGTATATGCCGCAAACTTGACCTGCATTGGGTCTGGCAGTGAATCCCCAGCAAAGTCCCAGTATGCAACTTTTATACAGTGAATGAACAGAAAGCTTACACAAATGGTCAATCCAAGCAGACTACAATTTCTAAGCACTGCCATCAAATTAAGGGGGAAACCTATAGCGTTCTGTAAGTAAAAAATAATCATTTATTTAAAGGCAGGGTTATTTAAATGCTGATGCTACGACTGGCGGTTAAAGTCCAAGCAAGAGTATCTTTGTGCAAATGGTAACTCACTCGGAGATTGATTAAATTAACACACGAATATGGACCATAGGTGAGCACATGATTGATAGCACAAACTGACTTTTGGTATAAAGCACGATGAATCATTTCCAGTCAAATCCTGATAGAAAAAAATGTTTGAGTTCTACTCAACAATCAATTAGCCACCTGATCGTGAACGTGAAGAGGCACTTCATCCTGCTCATTTTTCTTAAAGTTGTACACTCAGCTTGTGCCAGTAATGAGACACTTTACATATATCATTAATAAGGCCGAAACCAGAAAACAGGCAGCAGCTGTCTTTGGCTCAGCACAACAATGCAGCACAGCCTCATTGTCAGTGAAACTTCCTCAGGTCATATGTACAGGCCATATGAGGGGAGGATCCAGGCTGATCTCTTAGGTTAAAGGAATATGCTATCAGGATGGACTAGATAAATGAGTGCTTTTCAGCATTCATGCAATGTCCCAGAGGGCATTATAGTGGTATATAAGATGCTGAATAGGGAGGAAGTGTAAAAATATTGCTTTCCAGTTTGCTAAGACACCTGTACAGCAAACAGTGATGTGAAAGGCTATTTTAGGATAGACAACACATATTTCTTTCCCTAGAATGTAATCAGCAGCTGTAACGGGTTACATAGAACATTAATAAACATAAACACACTGCAATCATTTAAAGAGCAGCTTGATGCTATAAAAGGAATACAGTGTAATGACTGCATTTTGGAATAAACAGGCACATTCGGTCATTAAGCCTGTTCTGCTATTTTATTAGATAATTGCATGTATTTCAATCTTATTTGACTACCATTCCCATTATCTTGTTTCACAAATATCTATCTCCCATTTAAGTGAAGAAATATTTTTGATCTTGCTCATGAACAGCTTAATTTTAATTTTACGTTAATGTCCCATTGTTCTGGAATCACTCTACCAGGGACAGACACACAAATAAATCATTCATGAATTCGGCATAACGTCTTTCACATCAGGAGGATATCTCAAAACATTTCACAGGATTTACCTTAAAATGTAGTGACTGTGTATTTTGTAGGCAAATTACTACATGACATTATATTGAAAATAATTAAAAAAGAGCAATGAGACCAAGGAAGTTAACATGCATAAATCTTTAAAGGTGGGGAGGCAGGTGGACAAAGCTATGAAGAAGGCTAATGGGATCCGAGATTTTATATTCAGGGGCATAGAATATTAAAACAAGAGATAATGCTTAACCTGTATATATCATTAGATAGATCACAGTTAAAGGATTCCAGTTTTGATCATCCCTCTTTAGGACAATATCAGGGCAACAGGGAAGGTGCAGAGGAGATTTATTAGTACTGTACCAGGAATGAGTGTGTTGTCCTATGAGCAGTGATTGGAGGAGTTGGGCCTATTTTCACTGGAGGGGAGAAGGTTGAGGGAAACCTGAGAGAGGGCTTTCAAATTTTGAGGGATTTGGATAGAGTAGATAAGGAGAAATTATTTTCACTGGTCAGTGAGTCAGAGACTGGAGGATATCAATTTAATTTGTTACCAAAGGAGCAAGAAGGGAATATTAGGAGGTTGTTTTTGAAAAAACAGAGTTGTTACAATATTTTTAATAATAATAATGCCTAATAATAATCCCTCCAAAACAAAAAAAAAGAAATTGGTCATTTTCAATCCACGACTGTTTGTGGGACACTACTGTGCACAATTGGCTGCCGCGTTTCGCTCACAAATATACAGTCATTTCACTTTACAGCATATTCTGTGAAGCGCTTTGAGACGTCTAGAAGACGTGAAAAGCGCAATATCAAATGCAAGGATTATTATTATTATTATTAATATAGAAAGTCCTACTGGGTGCAATGGGTAAGGTAGATTCCATATCAGCTTTCAAGAGGATACTGGATAGATATCTAAAAAAGGTTATAAATCTAAAAATCAATATGCAGGGTTGTGGAAAGTTCAAGCAAATGGAACTGTCCGGATTGCTCTTCCAAAGAGCTATAACAACAACAACAACAAGATTCCATTTATAGAGCACCTTTCACGTCGGGAGCACCTTTCACGTCCCAAGGCGCTGGACAGTTGGGTCAGGACCCGAGCAGGGGGGAAATGGTCAGGTTGAGGGGAAGGAAGGGAGGGAGCGAGGAGGGGGTAGAGAGTCGAGAGGAGAGCTGAAGGCACGGTCAAAGAGAAAGGTCTTGAGACCGGCCTTGAAGGAGGAAAGGGAGGAAGCAAGGCGAAGGCACTGGGGGATGGAGTTCCAGAGCCTAGGGGCTGAGAGGCTGAAGGCCCGGTCACTGATGGTAGGGCGGTTGGGGCGGGGGATGCGGAGCAGACCGGAGCCAGGGGAACGGAGGGTATGGGCAGGTAGGTAGGGGGATAGTAGGTTGGAGAGGTAGGAGGGAACAAGACCGTGAATGGCTTTGTAGGTGAGGATGAGGATCTTGAATTCGAGACAGACACAGACACAATTCTAACATAGACACAATGGGTCTTTCTCTCCATTGTAAAAATCTATGGTTCTAAGGATCAGGTGTGCCACTTCAAATTGGTGTATTACTGGTAGTCAAGAACATTTACAGTTCAGGGGCGTAAACACAAAAACGGCTGATCATTTAGAAGGAAATTTATGATTTGAGCTGACTGGATGGAAAAGCAGAGACAATTAATTCTAGGAGAAACCAAAGTGTAATTGAGATAAACTGTGACATTCTCAGCCCGTTATTTCCTACCTTTAGCTCATGCTTCTGCTATTCCAGCTTCTGGCAGCTTGGGTTGGGTTCTTGGTTTTGTCGATAGGTTGCAGAAAGTGGGCTTTTGTGTAGTTTCTATCACAACAGAATGTGCCTGTCAGTAATTTCGAAAGAATAGTTTAGCAGTAATCTGTTTGATTCAATTTGAATGGCCAAGTCATCTAGAGGAATGTTGGTCAAGTCCTAAACTTCCTTCTCTTTTCAAAGAGTGCCATGGATGGGTAAACCTTTTGTTATGCTTTTTGCTCAATTTGACCCAGTCCAACTATAATGGAAAACCCTGTTGAAGGCCAACATCGTCAAAACTGATGCATGTAACTTTTAATGGAATTTTTACCCTGGGATGTTTAACGTCCACCTTGATCACAAGCACATGGTATTTAATTTTAACATCTCATTTGATAGATGGCACTTCTAACAGTGCAGTGCACCAGTAATGTGCTGGGGTTCAGCATGGGGTTCATACAGTCAAGCCTGGCATGAGGTAAAAATTCATAATGTTTGGACCCAGAGGTGAGAGTGCATTCACCTAAACCAAAGTGACATTGTATGTGCCTCTGGCCCAGCTGATGTTTCCCATGTTTGAATTAACTGATAAAACCTACTGTCTAAGTTCACAATGGTCACATGCATTAAATAGAATAATTAATTGGAGTTAAATCCTTCTTAAATATAGAATACTGTATCTTAGCAGGTTCCAACTTACTGCTAGGTAAACGGACGTGTGTGTGTGTGTGTGTGTGTGTGTGTGTGGATTAAGGAAATTTAGCCAATGTTTCGCCCTGACCCGAAAATGCAAGGATTATTATTATTATTATTATTATTATTATTATTATTATTATTATTATTTTGATAGAACACATAAGCTTTTTGGAATAAAATAAGGGATCAAATTATAAACATATGAAAATGTATGCAGAATTTAATGATTTTCCTCTCCCTTCTATGCAATACACACTTTTAAATTTAATGCGGTACATACTGCAGGACGTAAGCCCTTTATATAGTATACGTGTGCCATTTAGTCAGCTGTTGTATCCATTCGAGATGCTAGAGGAACAACAATATCATCAAAGCCATCAATTCAGCAGTTTACTCTGCTCTCTAAAATCTCACAGTGTACGCTGTAACTTCCACAGCACTCACACACAGGAGTCAAGATCGATTCACCACATCACACAAAAAACCATGTGATACCAGACGTAAATGGATTATTACCTTTTATTCTGTGTGTGCTGCAGAATTTCTTTCCAGGTTTCAACTCATTATTTATTTAAGCCAGTTGCAACCTAGATGTACAATATAATGTAGGTGGTTTTCAAATTGATTTATACTGGATGCTTCAATGTTTTTCATATAGGATGGAAACAGATGTGCATGGAATACCATTAGATCAGCATTTTCACATCATACCTGTTCATAGTCTGGTAATTCTTTTATTTCCCTCCCCCCATATCATGTGGGATATTTCATAGCTGAGCTCAGTCCTATTCTCAGCCAATGTTCACACACAAGCATCTTTCCGTAGGTATCTCTGGAAAGCAAGCAAAACTAGGAACCCTACTCGATTTTTCTCTCCTAACCTAGGGCTGATTGTAGGATCTAAGCAGTATGTTTCGACCACATAATATACAGTCAATTTACATTATAATATATTCTGTGAAGCGCTTTGAGATGTCTCGAAGATGTGATAAAGTGCTATATCAAATGCAAGGATTATTACTTTTAACTTTTAACACTAATGGTGGGATTCACACCTGTGACTTCCATGTCTTTCTGGCAAAGTGCCATCCAGGATAGTGCCTTTATACAACACAAAATTACATTTGTAAAGCGCCGTTCATGTCGGGAGGACGTCCCAAAGACCACCCTAGTTTTACCAATTAAGTCAGGGTGGTCCAATTGGCATCCAGCCTGTGGTCCAATTGGCATCCAGCCCATTCGGCATGCACTGTGCATGTTGCACTGTGTGTCTGGAGCCCAGGCTTGGAAACCCGGCGGTTAAAACAATGACACGAGGCGGCAGGTAGCAGCAGGACCTGTCAATTACTTTCAAACCAGTAACAGGAGAGTTACAGGGAGAGAGAGAGAGAGAGAGAGAGAGAGCGGGAAAGAGATAGATACAGAGACACACACAGATACAGAGAGAGACAGAGACAAATACATTGCCAATTTAAAGTTTGCATTGTAACTAATATATAGTGAAATTAAGTAATACAGTTACACAATTTAAAACATAGGATTTCTATATGATTATTACGGGTTATGTTTCTAAAAGGGAAACACAAAAATATCACTTATGCAGCCTGCAGACATTTCTCAAATCCAGCATCTGGTCCTCAGCAGCCAAAAGATTGGACCACTCTGCATTAAGTCATTGCTAAAACGCTCCCAGAGTACTCACTGAAGATTACTGTATAAGTTTAAAAATCACAACAAAAACTCTTAACTCTAAGAATGCAAAAACCAAAAAAGCTATTTGGTTATTAATCATTATTGCAACTCTTCAAAGCTCACACCTTCCACCAAACCACATGTAATCTATTCTTTAATTGAGTCTAAGATACGCATTTATTGTTAACTGACCTTGCAAGTTTCCCTCAACCTCTCTGATCAGTCTTTGTCTCCTTCACGCATTGTCCTTCTCTAAGGTTAGATGGTATATTCTAACACAGTCCAGGCACTAAGGGTAGTATTTGTTGCCTATGGTCAGCCTACAATCAACTCCAGAATCCTGAACTTTCATCACCTCCTCTTTCCTCACAAAGGGCCGGTGAGAAAAGATGTTCTCCAGAGCCCCATTAATGTACAATTTACACTGACTTCCTCTGGGTCTGCCTAATTATAACAGTTTCTGAGCCAAAATGACACCATCTAGAATTTGAATGTGAGGAAAGTATGTAAAACACTTCGCTTTTTTCTGATACTCCATACGAACAAAGAACGTGTAATGAATAATTTTACCTAAAATAAGAAATAAACAAGCATGCTATTGAATACAAAAAGTATACTTAATGTAACGCATTTCACGTTGGAAGGACATCTCAAAATGCTTCACAGGATTTGTGTAAAGTGTAGTGATTGTGTAAATGAAAGCGACAGTCAATTTGTGCAAATCAATATCCACAAATAGCCATAAAATTAATGACCAATTTTGTCTACAAAAATTAGCTAGCATACTGGCAAAAACTCCCTTCCCTTTTCAAAGCAGCCACATGAACAGACAGATTGGACAGTGGTTTAATATTTGATCTAAAGGTTGACACTTTAAAAATTATAGCACTCTTCCAGTATTGTAGTGAAATGTGAGCCTAGACCGTGAGGTCAAAGTCCTGATGTGAGCCTTGAAACCACAGCCTTCTGATTCAGAGCCAAGTGTATTACCACTTGAGCCAGCTTGACACCTTCTGGGCGCCATAAACCATAAGAAAGCATGAATCGGAAAATTCTACAGGATGGGAATCCATGGAGCTAAGCAGTTCGTCTACTTAGTTTGCCAAAGATAAGCACAATTCTGATCGACCCATAAAGTTCCAATTAAGCATAGTTCTCAAATCATTGGAACTTCTCAACATGGCACTTGATGAATGCAAGATCTCAACTAAGTGGATGGATTTTCATCCAAGCACTCAAAGTGCAATTAGAATATAATAGGGAAAGACTGAGGATTTGATGCAGGAATCCTTGCTGAGAGTTACATGTTTGACCAGTGAGATGGAAAATGCTTTAAGCGCACCCACACATAGCTGTTTGTGGAGTCCTGTAGCTCAGTGGTTAGAGCACTCGCTTTGCAAGCGAGAGACCTGAGTTCAATTCCAGGCAGGGCGAAACCTTGGGCAAGTTTTCTTACTCCACACGCCTAATAATAATCCCTCCAAAACAAAAAACAATAATAAAAAAAAATTGGTCATTTTCAATCTACGACTGATTGTGGGACATTGCTGTGCACAATTGGCTGCCGCATTCGCCCACAAATTTACAGTCAATTCACTTTACAGTGTGTTCTGTGAAGCGCTTTGGGACGTCCTTCCGATGTGAAAAGCGCTATGCAAGGATTATTATTATTTAGTCAAATTCCAAAGCAGCAGCATTCAGAACTGACAATGCCAGCTAATTGTCACTGTGACATTGCTATATCATCCTTAGACGTGCATGTCTACCAGCCAGGATTAAAGACTTTCACTGTAAGCTTTTAGAGAACTGACAGCTTTGAAAAGTAACAACCATTTACAGTTTTCTGCACNAAAAAACTTTCTTCCACTAAAATAATATGGAATTATTCCTATCAGATTCAGAAGTACAATTACAGTGCTCCCTGTCTGCTTCTCTGTACTATGCAAACACTACAAAATTACACTGGTGAGAACGTTATCAGAAAAGCCATCAATGCAGCCCAATGTAACCTGGACTTCTTTTCTCTGACAATTACAGTTACTTTTGTGATGTGAAAGGATTTTTAATTTTTTTTACTATCATTGACCAATTGTGAGTGTTGCAAACTACAAAAAGCCATCATTATAATACAATGCAACAGTATTTCAGTTGTGAAACAACAAACACCATGGATAGTTACATTGACTTTTAAAGTTTTTGGTATGAATTATTTAAGTGGGTTCCATTGCGCTAATCTGTTTATTGATCACTCACTAACAATCCTGTCAAACTCAGAGAAGGGTAATTTAAACTTTTATTTATTGTTAAGCTTCCATTAATATAAAATAAGTTTCTGTGTTAACGTTATGATGCTCCAGCGCCAAAAAATCAATGCTGCACAGCAATAGTTCAAGGAGTCTGAATCCAGTAATGTAATCACTGGAATCCTACACATCAGAGAATCCACCAAACTATCTTCTGTTTTTGACATTTTTAACTGTATGAGTAGTCTAGAAGCTGCCTATAGGACAATTTTTGAGTCAGAACAAGGTTGTGTGGTCAGATGTATGTCAGAGCATGTTTTTCAGCACTAAACTTACTACACTTTTTGTTCCCTGTTCCCCCCTCCCCATCTGGTTCAGAGTCAACAATGCTGCTCTCACTGGTAAACAGACACCTGATATTCACCATCTTACATGGGTGTAATGTAATAAGTTTAT